AGTTACTGGTTTTGCCCTCAATCGGTTCAGTTGGGTTGACAATTTTTGAGCACATTATGCAACAGTCTTTCACAAATAATCATAATAAAATATATTGTCCATTTTTCCCAAGATGTATAAAATAATACAAAACAAGAAAATAATACAGTAAAGGAATGAATTCAATTTTGGTTTTTAGTTGCTAGCTTTACTCTAGCATAACACTGCTATACCAAAGTATTTTATTTCTTTGGATCAATGGTATCGAAAAGTGTGGGGAACAGCATTAGCTGAAAAATTGGCACAGAACTGAGTTACAAAGAATCATTTAATTAAATGTCCTTTTACTCACATTTGGTTTCAATTTTTATTCGTATCAACAGAACAATTCCTAATAGAGTACCTCTATCTATACATTTTCAAAAATAGAAATATCTGTTTAGCATGATGTTTACAATTCTTTTTCTTTCATATTACAAACAAAAGTCCCAAGCCATTTCTTTCATTTTGTCTAATTTATCTTCACTGTTTTTATTTTTTTTTCTTATCTAGTTTTATTTTCAATGTTTCATTGAATACTGTATGTTTAAACAACAGTAATGTAATATAAAAGAAAAAAAATCCACTGTGTTCAGTGGAATTTATTCCCAGTTACTATATACAAGATTATATCCTACTCATCCCTACAACAGAAGTATAAAGCTGTATTGAATCCAAAAGGGCTTCTTCCAAAGTTCAGGATTGCAACTTGATTTTATCTCATAGGAGATTCAGGTTGAAGGCTGTGCTTATATTTTTGAATAGTTTGGGAACATCACAATTTCACAGAATAATTAAATTCATAGAAATTTAGGATGGCCAACTTGCTGCTCAGACCATTTCAGAAACTTCTGAAGTCTAACTGCAACCAGAGCCTTGGCTGTAGGAATAAAAGACTCTTCTGATGAATAGAGAGAATAAGAAACAACCACAGAGGAATAGTTGATATCCTGACCTTATGAGATGAAACTCACGTCATTCCAGTGTTTAATGTTTATGGTTAATTCAATCTGAAAGCTATCAACTTACGGATATATTGAGAATGCAAATTAAGGTCCTGTCATTTGTAGCAGAAATTATATGAGATGACAAAGTATTGTGTAGATTGCAAGAAAGTGTACAGAATGATGAAGTTAAAAAGAGTTTGTAGCTTAGCTGGTGCAGACAGCTGTTGATCCTGCAATGACATCTCGATAATGGAGGATCCCAAGACAGCTGCTGCATGCAGAGCACTCTGGGATCTCCTTGTATCAGGTTGCTCCAAAGCTTAGTTAATCACCAGAGGATTTCAGGTTTAAAGGACTGTGAAATGGATTGGTCACAGCCATACTATAAATGGGGCAATCTATGCTAAATAGGGTAGATTAAAGCATCTGAGTGACATGCAGCTAAGAGAGAGCAGGCTAAGAGGCAACAAGGATAGAACAGTTGATATTTATGGCTTCCTACTTCAGTCACCATGTCTGCGCCTCCATTCTGCTCTTCCCTGGGTCTTGAGCTTTGTCTGTGGTATAGTGCTAAGAGGAGAACCAATTCAATGATCAAATCTTAGAAAATATCTCTCCAATTATTTTCCCTATGCAAGGTCAGCTATATCATTAGAGGCAATGAAGCAGTGTGTGGGTGGCACATTCATTTCAGCAGCAAATGTGAGTCCAGTCCCCACCTGAGTATTGCTTCCAGCTGAGCATGTAGTACAACCATGCTGGCTGTCCTACGTATATTGATCTGAGGGGTCCTCAGAGCAAGGTGTTGTGGTTTACTGTGGCATCTGGCTCCATAAATACCCACATAAATAGCCACTACAACCATCTTATGAAGCATTATTCTAGGGTTCCCTCAAAATGATACCTATAGAATGGAAGACCTGCTGCCACTTGAGAAAAAATATACAGAAGACAACAGCTCCAGTGTCAAAAGATTCTTCCATCTTTTGCTTCTTAAACATTTCTGATGAAAGAAAAAAGATAAAAGAACCAGTGGAAAAACATGGGTGGGTTATACATGAGAGATAATGGCATCTCATCTAGATCTATAAAATTTATTGAATGTGGCAGAGCAATTATATGACAAAAACCTTGTCTAGAAGCAGCTTACATTTTAATATATTTACCGTAACATAAAATTTAAGGCATATGTACTTACTTGGGTCTGGGCTTTGATTCCCCTGCAATAAAAACAAAGAAATATAAAAATAAAAAACATCATAGACATTATGCTATTCCTTTTGAGAATAAGCAGTATCATACAAAAATGCAGAAAAAGACTAAGAAATGCTAAGCAAAATGAATTAAAGTCTTTTAGTGAAGTGGTAAGAAAAAAGAAAAGGAAATATAGTTAAATATTATTTACACCAGCAATATTCCCTATACTTCTATTATTTGCAAACTATCTTTGCTTCCACAAACTTTCTTGTTCATACACCAATTCATACATCACCTTTTGTTATTTACAGTTTTCACTTCTCTCTTTATGAAGATTGCAATAGCTCCATGTAAACATACCATTTTTGGTCTTCTCCCTCCTCTTGACCCATTCATTTTTCCTTCATAAATTTGTTTGAGCTTCATTCATTCTCTTTGGTCCCTCCCTTTTGTATTCAGTCCACATACATTCAACACCCCTTTGTTCTTGATTCTGTCAGTTCTTGCTTTATCATGCAACTTCTTAAATAACCCATACCCACTCCATTCAACTTCCCTTTATATTTCTCAGATATACCCAACTCTCATTTCCATATAACAAAGTGGGCAGAAGCACTTATACAGAGCCATATTCACTTCTTTGGACAAGATCCATTCATTGCTACAGACTAGATACCATCCACTAACTTTCTTCCAGAATTTGCATATTTTAAAATTCAGCCATCCATTTCCCCATTCTACACAATTTTTCTCTATGCACATTGTACAGCAGCTTCCTCTCATCCTCATTTTTTCAGCACATTCTCTTTTTTTCCTCATCCACAGCCTTTTTTATCTCATTATTCCATCAAACATCCTTTTCTATATTACCCATTAATGTAATCCCATACATTTCTGTGGCACTCTGTAACATACATCTTTTTACTTTTTATTTATTTATTTATTTAATTATATATCAATACTCAGAAAAACATCGTGTCAACTGGTTCCCTTTTCAGGTACATAAATCATTCACATCTTTTTACTTTTTATACAACAGTGTTTATACCACCTACTTCATAGGACTCAGTGTGGTTTACAATAATACAGACAGTAAATAAATAAATATACATGAAGTACAAATACAAGTTGTTTGATTATCAAGTTGGTGTTGACTTTAGCAACCACATAGATCTTGTGGACAGGATAATCTTCTCTTTCCTTCCACTTTTCCCAGCATTACAGACTTTTCGAGGGAGCTGATTCTTTGTGTAATATGCTCAAAATATGATAACTTCAGCCTGGTCATTTCTACCTTGAATGTGAACTGTATGATCTATAGCTTTGTCTCATTCTTTTGCCAACCTGTAGCAAGTTTGCACCATGTTCCCTCAGGATTGTGGTTTCCTGTCCTGTGTATAGTTTTGCAGGAGGACAATGAGATGTTCTGGGATTTCCATTTTCCTAAGGACATTCTACAGCTTGATATGGTTGACAGTATCAAAGGCCTTTCTATAATCCATGAAGCACATATTGCCTTTTTTGGGGGGGGGGGGTATTCTTTGGCTTTCTTAATTATCCAGTGTATATTAGCAATAACGTCCCTTGTTCCTGAGCCTTTTCTAAAACAAGCTTGAACATCTGGCATCTCTCTTTCCATGTAGAACTGTAATTGAGTTGGATGATCCTTAGTATTATTTTGCTAGTATGTAAATTAAGGATATTGTGCAATAGTGTGTATACTCTGTGGAGTCTTCTTTCTTTAGAATTGGTAAGTAGATTGAACTCATCCAATCTGTTGCCCTCTATGTCATTCTCCAAATGCTGGCACAGCTTGGTTAGAATGTTTACTGCTTCTGCTTCTGCTCCTTGCCACATTTCTGTAGATATTCCCTCAATCCTGTAGTCTTCCAACTTGATAATGACTAGAGTACTGATCTGACTTCATCTTCTAGTACTAGATGTTCTTGAAATAGCAATTATCTTCTAAGGTATTTTGGATGTTAACTTCTCTACTTCTCAGAATTTGGTATTCTCCTATTTTTGTTCAATCTTCTCTGAATTAGTTACTATCTACCCACTGACATCTTTTAGTGTACCAGTTCAAGGATGGAATCTCCTTCTGAGTTCAGAGATCTTTTGGAAGATTTTTCCTGTTTGTCCATGTCTGTTTATCATCTTTGATGTCTGTATAGATGTCACTGTGATACAGCTTCTTGTCTTTTCTAACAGCTCTTTCTCTCCCCCCACCCCCCTTTAACCGTTAGATTCTTTCCTGAGATTTTTGTCTTTCTTGGTTTAACTTCTCTTCTCTTCTTGGCAATTTCCATTCCCTTTTCATTTTTTGCATGGCAACAATTAGATGTCCCAAAGATTGTAATCTAACCATGCAATCAACATCATTATTACTCTGAAAGATCCTTAGGTCTTCCTCAGTAGCATGTTGAATGTCATTTGACCTGATTGGCCCATCATCTAGAACTATATTATCAATCACTTTATACAGTATTATCTATCCATGTAGTTTTCTTGGTAAAATACATGAGTGCCTAATCTTTGCCTTCTCCTGCACAATATGGAGACTTTACCATTGTCACTAAGTGATCATCCACCTCCAATACCTTCCTGTATCACTATTGTTCAATATAGGCACCTGTTTGCTTTATCTGGGCAAGCCTTGGGTGACCCTACTGGGGGTATGTACTCTTGACATACATTCCTGGCATTCATTGCTCATCCTTCCCAGGAAAACCTCCACCATGATAAGGCACCATAGCAGGACTTGAGAGGGACAAATACAAATAGCATCCCAAATTAAAAATCAATCTTATAGTGGCCCAGTCACCATTAGCATCTATACCCCTTGGGAAATAAGACAGTCATGAAATCCATTCAATCATTTGGAGATTCATGTATCTTTTAACATTTTTTTCATACAGGACTCATATTTTCTCTTCATGCAGTCTTTCTATTTTAACTCTGATTTTTTTTCTTCCATGCCCATTTTTCCCCAAGATTCACGTTATTTGGTAATGTGCTTCACAGACTTAAAATTCTGCTTCTTCACCACCCTTTGAAATCCCCCTTCCTTTGTTTCATCAATAGATGAAACACTCATTATGTTGAGGGCATCCTTTCTTTGTGGGCATTTTCTTTCTCACTGAACAAACTGCTGGCCATGATCTTCTGCCCACCCCCCACCCCCATTCAGTTTGCACAGTCCAGCTCAAGGAAAACTCTTTGACAGCAGCTTTCTTAGTATGCCAAATTATCAGAGTTTGTTGGGATAACCTATTACACAAAGTTTGCTAGAGGGTTTCTTTTGTTTCTCTTTTGTTTATTGGAGTACTGGAAACCCTGGCATTGAGAAATAAGTACATTTAGTAGCTCACAAGTTTGAAGAAGGGTGAGTGCTGATTGGCTGAAATTCTCAGGACTCTGATATTGGCTACCTTAGGCTGAGTAAATATTGGGTCATATTAGGTTTGTTTGGGATCCATGGATAAAGAGGACCAAGTGACGGAATTGTGGGTTTAGCTTAAAATGTGTTGGGAAGTAGAATAGAATGAGTGGTGATATAACACAGCTTAGGGGGGAACTTCTTTTTTTTTTTTTTGGTCATAAAGGAAAAGTGGCATTGATTGTGCTTGCCATTCTTAAAAGACTTACCCATTCTGGTATATTTCAGAATACAATTATTGCACAATTACTATTGAAAGATATAAATCTTTGGGTTCAATGATTTTAAAGATATGAAGAGATGCACAGTTGTATGCAGTAATGACGGGAAAACACGATTTATTTATAAATCTCAATTCTCAACCTGAGAGACTAAGACAAGAACTAAATTTCTACCCTTTTCTGCTTAAAAAAATTGTGTACATTGATTTGACAATGTGAAATTAAATTCATATGCATTCAGATGAAAATTAATGTATTTCTCCTCCTAAGTCCCTCTGTTCTGTGCCCTGCCCTTCATACTTGCCCCAAACATCTACACTTACTTAATGAAAACCAAGAATCAAACCTCCATGCTGTGTACTAAGAACAATACATAATTTGGTATACAATAACATCCAATCATTGTTTAAAGTATGTGAAAAGGAGGAATGCACTCAAAACTACTGCCCTCGTGTTTTTATCCATACAAGGAATGAACACTGAAGCAGGTCCGGTTCTGAAGCAGATAGATGGGCAGAACTCCATTTATATATATTTAAAAAGTTTCTCAGAAAGCCCCAAATTGCTCCCTTCCAACCAAGACTTCTCAGAAATCCAGAGAGGCAGCTCAGGTCCCTTTTCTCAATTGAGCCCACCTCCACTCCCCCAATAAAAATGGTTACATAATGAAAACAAACTGAAGTGTGCATGCACGCACACACATAAAAAAAGATATAAAACTTGAGTTAGGCCCATGCTGAGCTTGAGAACCAGGCCAAATGACCCCCTAACTGGTATAACCATGACACTCATTGGACACTCCAGTCATTCTTTTAATGGTGTAACTATGGCCTCCTCCATCTTATGAAAGGATAACCCTTGGACTGAAATTAGTAACAACAAGCTTTAGGAATTGGAAGCTATTGGGAGGTCTACTGGATCAACTGAAGTTGTATGAGAGAAACCAGTCTTCCATATAAGCTAGCCTTTCAGTGTTATAAGTTTTATTTCAGCTGTTAACTTCTACTGTTTTCATGAATGTGTGGAAAAGGAGGTGGTACATAAGAGAGGTTATCTTCCCTCCACCTCTCACTTTCTCCTACTTCTACAGGGGAGGTGGTAGAATTTCCAATTATATGTCTGCCAAGCTCTGCTGATCAGACACACACACCACTGTTTTGAGGGAAAGATGATCACCAAGCACATTATCAGCTCCAAATGACCAAAATTCACTCATGCAAACTGTCATGATGCACATGTCCCTCCTATTTGCCTACCTTCTTCAGGTTCTTTAGCTTGCTCTTCTTGTTCTATTTTAAAAGAGTAAAGAACGTGATTAGCATTGTAGCACATTGCAAAGATGCGTTTAGAATCACCACTCCCTCTGGATGCATTTTATTGCTCATAAGCTATGCCTGAAATCATTCCTAGGATGCTTTGCAGTTCACACATGCATTGCTGAGAAAGCTCACATTACTGGCATTCTGGTATTTGATAATCAGAGTCAGCAGCATCCCCTTTCCTAATTTATTATAACATCAAAACTGGAATAGATTATAATGTAATGAACACCTACAAATATAGATGCACCATCAAAGGTGACTTTTAATTAATAAAATGTTACTTTTCAAAAACATTTCAAAATACGTGTTACTTCCTGGGAAAGTGTTATAGTGTTTCCCTTCTCAAGCCTACTTACAAGTAAATGAAAAATAACACTACAGTCAGCAAAGAATGTTAGATATATAGTTTACCTTTCCCCACTATGTGTGTGTGTGTGTACACCTGTTTTAGATGTAATAATTGCTAGTTTCAACAAAACCTTGATGATTTTCCAAAGTAGCATTATGCTCCATACGTAAATGAGGAAGGGACTGAGGTGGGAGAAGGGCATCTGCCAATGAATGGTTTCCTTTTTACTAAGCACAAATTACTTTCTCCTACTTCTAAGTATTAGGGACATTAATTATCTACATATAATTGTGAAGCGTTATAAAAATATAGCTATAGATCTCATACATTTCTGAATCTTAAAAGAGAGCACACTATCATACCCATCCCCCCCATAAAAGTATCACCCAAAACTGGTTCAGCAGAACATCACTGCGTGCCTTCTGCTATAGCTTCTTCTGCATCTTCTTTGATTTCCTCGCCTTCTTCTTCTTCTTCTACAGAATAAAACATAAAGATAACCATCAACTCTAAGGACTACAGTGGTTGACAAATAAAAACATTGAGGACATTAGTGTCAGCCTATGGAATGTTGATGAAAGAAGAGGAAGAGCTGAAAAAGAGCATAGTTCCAAACAAGAGTGGGCAAACTGTAGTCCTGTGGTCATGTGTGACCTTCAGCCCAATTTCATGAGGTCCTTGGCCTAATTTCAAAAAGCCTTTTCAAGTAAGCAGTTCAGACCTCTGAGAAAAGCAATATGTTCGATGTGAGGAAGAAAGAAAAGAAAGTATTAGAAATGGAGAGAAAGAGACAGAGGGATGTTGAAAAAGGGAAAGAGAAAGAGAGAGCTTTGTTCAAGTTGCCTCTGGTTCTACCCATCACTGATTTGTGATTCCAATAACTCCTAAAGAAATGTGGCCCTCTACCCACTCCTCCAAAAATGCCCATTGAACACATTTTGATTCAATGATAAATATGTTTCATGAAGATTAGGGGAGGAAGGCAGAGTTCTGAGATGAACTGACATCTCAGCAGAGCACATCTCAAATATCTAGGCAGGCTCCACAGGACACATCCAAGTGGACACTTCTCACACTTCTAATGCATTCCAGAAGAGTAACAGTAAAGCATATGAATTAAGGAAACCAATGAAGAATGGAGCAAATCAATGTTCAGAGTGTTAGAACATCTACAATAAAGGAAAAGTATAGACAAGTTGTGGTTTTTAGTTAATTAAAAAGAAAAGTTGATTTAAAAGAAGTTAGATATAATCAGAACTCTATAATTATTATGAATGCTGCAGAGAAAAGGGACAGAAATACTTTTTCCTCCTTTTGATAAATTTGCAGTCATTCATTTCTGCAATATAGATAGAGAGGATGAATTAACGTAGGCTGAAAATCTAGTGAAGCATAAAAGAGTTGTAGACATTTATTATAGAATCAATGAATCATAGAGATGGAAAGGAACTCAGAAATCATCTCATTCAGCCCCCTACTCAGTGTAGGATCCACTACAGCATCTGTAACAGATGGCCATCCAGCCTCTGTTGAAGACCTCTAGAGAAGGAGGACTCACCACTTCATGTAGCAGCTTGTTCCCCTAGCTGACAGCTCATATGGTTAGTAGCCTAAACCCACTTCCTTATAATTTTAAGCCAGTGATTCTGATCTTCCCTTCTGGAGCAATAGAGAATAAGTCTACTCCCTCTTCTGTGTGATAATCCTGTAGACAGTGCCAAGATATCATGTGAATTAGATACAGTTCTTCAGCTTTCAGTCCTGAAATAGAATATTAGGATTTTCCAGCTCTATGTTATTACAAATGAAAATGGCTTTGATTATATGGAAAATGTATTTCCTTGCTCAGCAATACAGTTCCCATTCTTAAATCTGGTTATGTTTGTAGTTTAAATAGTCCTATTGATGATGCATATATTTCTACTGTATCATTAACAAGCACTAGTAAAGTGAAATGAAAATAAAGGTTCTACTACCGTCTTCCACCTCTATCCATTCTTCCTCTTCTTAATCAAGGCAAGCAGAGTGGTGAAAGGGAATAAGTACAAAAGGTTAGCAAGGATTATAAGTAGCTGTGGTATCAAACTAAAGCATCTACAGACAGCAAGATTTTCTGATTCAGTGCTGATTTGTTTGTGGTTGTTGTTTTGCATGTGTGCACATGACTAGAGTTCAGATGCCAAGCATTTATGAAGCCAGACATTAGCAAGACAATGGATATTAAGACCTGAGCCATCTAGCGCATTCACATATTCATAGAGTATTTTGCCCTCATTCGGATAGTTAGAAGAGGAAATATACATACAAAAATGCAAAATGCAAGTGTAAGAAAGCTAATTTCAGACTGAGTTACAATGTACTGGTTTCAGTTAATTTTATACAGAAGTAACAGGACTGTGCATGCTTCAAAAATTATTTAGAAGTGGTTCAAATCTTGTGTGAGCACAGCCCACTCTGCTAATCACTACAGTAACTGGATTTTTGTTCAGACTTCCATGGGGCCTGAAAAAGGGGGGCGATTAAAAGGGATTCTTAAAAGGGGATTTAAGAATCATATGAACCTTAAGGGGTGACTTCCCCTTAAAGCATCATCATCTTTTCTAAGCCTGAAAAAAGTTGGGCTGTTAGGAGTTGTGCTCATGGGAGGCCTGAAGCACTTCTTACAAATCAGTTTTGAAGCATCTAAAGTCACATGAAACAACTGACCTAAATGAACAATTGCTTAAATTCTCAAAAAGCAAGCATCTGGTACTGTATATTTAAACTTTAAGTTCGCTCCATTTTTGTTATCTCAAAATAACCTATTAAGACAATGAAGTTCCTTGAGGATATTTAGATAAGTAAAATAGTACTTTCTTTGCCCAGAATTTTATATATAATTTATTTTATAACTGGCTTCTACAAATGAAGACACTCAGTGTTTCACAAGAAGTGTAAAAAGTTCACAGAACACCAGCTAACAATAATTAAAATATAAACAACACTAACCAAAGAGAAAAGATTCAACAAGGCATCAAAACATTATTAAAAAGCAGTCAAGTTGAGGAAGTATGTAGCTAAGATGGAAAAAAGGGTGATGGGACAACATGTTTTTAAAGTTATAAAACAAGACTGGCAAAGGGGAATAGGATATAACATCCAGTAGTCTTCCCCAAATCTTAGCTCAGAGAGCAGTGGTATGCACAAAAATAAAGAGCCAGATCAAATTAAGAGCTATCACTGAAGCTCAGGTCAGAAAAGTCATTTTTAAGAAACGACACCCTGTGCATATCATATAAAACATGGGAAGTGCCACAGCACAGGAGAGAAAACAAATGACATGAAACAAAATACATTCGGAATCCGAAATGTATTACAACAGCATAAAAACAAGTACAGGAATCAGAAAGCTATGCAATGCTAACTATATTTAAAATTTAAATTCAGCATATTGTATTAAAAAGAATTCTCTCTTATCTGCGATAAGGTGTCTGGGCTTGCGTTGAAAAAACATCTCTCTCTCTCTCTATGAAATACTTGGGTTTCAAATCTGCTTGTTTATAGGCAGGAAGGGCTTTAGAAACATATTAACAATAATGATACCTACTAACTTTTGACAGTCTCTAATAAGGCCAAACACTATAAAATTGACAGTACTTAAGCCAGCTTTTATTTCTCTCTGCCTAAACAGCTATGCCTGGTGATCCGAATAAGGCATTCCTGTAACTGCAAATATCTGTTTTCTTCCTTCCAGTAAAGAAAAAAATGGAATAGTTGAAGCCTTGATTTTTAGTAGGAATAATATTTGTTAAAAGTAGATAGACTTTTGCTGTTACTGTATAGGGAATTTGTGCCAAATAAATTATTGTCTCTCCTGTACTGCAACGCTCTTCATGTTTTTTATTCTGGGGAGTTCTACATTCCTCTAAAAGACTTTGAACTATGACTCTTCTAATAACAACAGAAGCTTACCTTCTTCAATACAGTCTTCTGCAGCAAGACAGACCAAGAAGAAAGAGAACAGTATTAGAGCTGTTAAGAACATCTGAACAACCTACTGAACATGATTGTTTTCATTACCTTACCTTCCTGTTCTCTGTAAAGCAAACAAGAGAAAAAGCTAGATTAGAATAACGTCTGAGCTTTTCTTTTCTTAAAGCAGAAGAAAAAAATGGTTTTTCAAAGAATATCCTAGTTACAATTAGCTTCATGTTAAGGAGTCATGTCAACCTGTTGCTGTCCAAACAGTCTTGTGACACAGAGGCTTATCAGCCTATTAGTCATTAATGGGCCAAGGAGTCTTTGAGCATTTCCATAGCAATTCTTGACACCACTTTATTTATTATTTTGTTTTATGTATTAACCAGATTTAAACAAACAGTAAGCTAAACCAAAACAAAACCCAAATCATCTAACATTAAACATATACAATATATAAAATCCAAAATATGAAATGGCAACCAAGCACTTGGGATTGGCTCCAGATTGATCTCATGATCATGATGTCTATTTTTGACTCAGCTCCAATTTATTGGAAACCACAGCAAAGCTTGGGTTTTGGTTTTCTTTTGATTCGCTGCAGTTTTGCAGACTCAGGATGGTCCATTTTCTTGCTGGCAGAAACTCTTGCCTCCTGGCTCCTAAGGTTGGCCACTCTATTATTTCTCCCTCTATGCATTGGTTAGAATTCCTCTTCCCATGCCAGACATTACAATGACATGCAGCCACAGGCATTGCTATTGGGAAAAACACCCACTTGAGAATTGGCTGACAGGTTATCACTGCATTTTCAAAACTGACAAGTGCTTCAAAATGCAACAGAGGAATGGCACCAAGCACCACGAAGTCTTTGGAGGAGTTCACTGCTCTTGTTTAGATTTGTTTTATATTTTACCTTTCTGTACGTAATTTTCCATCATGCGAACCTCTTTATATGTAGGTTCAAGTGAAGCATCCCTCAGAAGTTGCCTCATGAAGCAATATGCCCCCTCACTTGTGAGAGTGAAGTTAAACAGTCCCATTCCTTTGCTTTTCTTCCTTCACTTACTTCCTCTGCACTCTCCACATCTGGCACTGCCAGTGCTCTGCTGAATCTCTTTTCCAATACTTGCAATGCCCAGAAAAGGCTTCTGCACAGCTGCTCTACCTGTGCAGAAGGCTCTTCGCACTTCTTGTAAGGAAACCCTCCATTGGCAACTGACAGAAGAGGCCACACGTGGGACTATCAGGAGTCTGCAAGGCACTGTGGAAAGCTTCAACAGGAAAATCACATTGCCTATTCATCTCAACCAAGAGATTTGCTTGGCCTCCAGAACACAAAACCCTTCTTTGTTGCTGTCTCAAACAGCAAGGTCAGTGTTTGTTTTTGTTTAGCCAAACCTCAGCTAAATGAACAAAAATGCATTTAGTAAGGTGGGATGATAGTGCTTTTATTTCCTTGTTACGTTGAAGGGTGGGCAGGGACTCTGGTTACTGCATGGTAGAAAGGGCAGGGGGGAGAGATGCTGATTCTATGACATTCTTTACACTCTCCCAATGATCAGTTGAAGAAAAAGAGGGTGAGGGTGAGGCTTTGTACGTACTCTGCATTTTGAGGCTGATTACAAGTTGCCCTCTAACACCTTTATGAAGGAATGGGGCATTGGAAATGTCCTTTATTGTTTATTCTAAATCAGTGGGGGTTTTTTTTCCAGAACTCTACCTAGCAGCGGCTGCTTTAAATATACCTCTGTTAGTGTACATGTCCTATCTGAGAAGTTATCCTCAAACCTCACCCTGACACCACATGTCAGGTTGACTCTGGAGAATAACCAAAACCAACATCCATTTTGCGGTGTGTGTGTGTGTGTACGCACACAGGCAAATTGAGAGTTAAATATGGGGTCTTTTTTTTTTTTAAAGGCACAATCTGTTCTTTCCCCCCTGTATTCTTATGAGTAACTTTATGAGATGTTCCTTTGTATAAATTTTGTAACTGTATTATACACATATATACTTTGTGGTCATGTGCGTGTGTGTCTTAAAACAGTGCTTAGTGCATACCAGTGGGTAGCCAATGTGCAGTTTCCAGTCCTTCATTAAACTTCCACCAAACTTTAGCAGCATCCCAAGGAATCAAATTGTGTGACTGGTATAAATTGGGGTTCAGAGGCATTAAAGGTTATTCTGATGTTAAAGTAACATTCTGCACTCACCCAACAGCTGGGAGAAAATGGGAAATTCTGACAGCACCTGCTCCTGCCGTGGCTATTTATTTATTTAAAAAAAAAAAAAAAGCAAAATCTTGCCAGTGAAAGATTGTCTCCCTAATACTAAACTGGAGATCAACAGCTCAGTCTTTTTGTCAAAGCCAAATTACAGCTGGCTTTACTTTAAGAGTTATGAGACAGGAGGAGGCAGATGTCACAAGATAGTTCTGATCTCTTCCCTACAACTTGTGACTTGAGTCTTTGAAGCTTTATTACTGTAAGATAAGGTCGTAGTGATTTTAGGTCCACTATTTCATTCCCTTTTCTGAACAGTGAAACTTTTTGCTAGAAAGTTGATTATTTTCTATGAAAGCATGTTTAATGCTTGCATTTTGGACTGGAGAGGAATAAACTTTAGGCTGGAAGTAGCATGGGGTCTATTAGATATTTTAATGCACAAGTTCATGTTATGCATCAACTGGAGATGCAGCTCAAGTAACAGGAACAGGTGTTGATTAAATGGAGCCAGAAGGAGTGAGACAGTTCTGAAAGATTTTTTTCCCAGTAGTCTGGTGAGTCTTTACAGCTGAAGTCGAGAACATGTGAGAAATTGTTAAGTGAATCAAGGGCATGCAAGAAACTGAGAAAGTGTGAAAGATTGGGAGGAACTGGGCATCCAAAAGATATGAAGAACTTCTAGAACTGCAAACATAACCAAGGGAAAAGCAGCCTAATGACTGCCAAGATATGTAGAGTGCTATGACCTTTGTGTGGTTCCTAATTATTGTATTTATAGTTCTTTCTATAGACAAAATATTTTAAACTACTGTAATCTGTTATTCTGCATTTTAGCTTTCTGTTAACCTAGGGCCCTCTTCCCCATTTGAGAAGACTTGTAATTACTGCAAAGGATTGGTATCAATTACATTATTTTTAAAATCATCTGGAACACGTAAAGTACGTTGGATTCTGAAATTTTACTTCTATTGGCAATTTAATATTGATATAGTCAAGACTATATTCTATTCAGATCATGCTGTATGCCTTGCTGCCCCCAGATATGCGTTACCCAGTATTGCTGTGATTAGCTCTATCACCACTGAAGGCTGGTGCTGGGAATAAACTTTATAGTCATCGTGACTTGAATATGAGTTTCCCATGTTCACCTGGCTAGCCAGTGTTGGAGAGAGTGTACTGAATGGACCATTGCTTTAATTCAGTGTTGTCCAAACTTGGCCACTTTAAGATGAGCGGACTTCAACTCCCAGAAATCCCCAGCCAGCATGGCTGGCTGGGGAATTCTGGGAGTTGAAGTCCGCTTATCTTAAAGTGGCCAAGTTTGGACAACACTGCTTTAATGGCCACTTTAAGATGAGCGGACTTCAACTCCCAGAAATCCCCAGCCAGCATGGCTGGCTGGGGAATTCTGGGAGTTGAAGTCCGCTTATCTTAAAGTGGCCAAGTTTGGACAACACTGCTTTAATGGCCACTTTAAGATGAGCGGACTTCAACTCCCAGAAATCCCCAGCCAGCATGGCTGGCTGGGGAATTCTGGGAGTTGAAGTCCGCTTATCTTAAAGTGGCCAAGTTTGGACAACACTGCTTTAATTGAAGTGCCAGGCAATTTTTATGCATTTGTTCTTAACGTGCTCTCCTCAAAGAGACACTTTAGAAGGAAAGAAAAAAAACAGGGCATATATTTGCATAAAATTATGTATATTAATTTATATTTATAGGTACATATTTAGAAATAATATATCATTTAAATGGCATTGTAATGTATTTTATCATAGTGATTATGACTGTGAGCAGGTAATCTGGGCTTGCTCAGTCTACTATCTAGAACTAACTACTGGTGAAGAACATCAAGATCCCTTTTCTCCCCTCACAAGATTCTTTATGTTATATCAGATTTATAATGGACATAGTACACAGATGAACATTGTCAAATAGAGAAGTATCTTCTTTAAAATAGAACATCCTAGCCAGAGGGTGAAATCATCAGGTATCTGCTGAGTCAAGATTCAAGAGGAGGCTCACAGCCAATCCCTGGAGCCACCTGATCCTTCTGTTCCTCCTTGTTTCTGATTCATGTTGCTGATTTCTCCTTTATCTCATTCATGTGCTAGCTCCCAAGAAATGAGCAGAGAAAATGGAAAAAAGAAGCTGTGACTTGCAAGTGTTTCCCACTGACTTTGGTGGTGGGATGGATCAGGTTTGCCATGTTTAGAGAACAAAAACCCACCAGAAGTATTGCACCTAGGGCTTTACAACCCTAGAAACAGCAACGCTTACCATACAAGTAGCTTTCAAAGAAGGGTTATGTTGGAAACTTAGTTGGTGTGCTTTCATTTTTGCTGAGTCTGTAGATATATTGTCGTCTCCAGTGCTCAATCTTTTTCTCAAGCCGTTTGCTATTACTCAAAGTGTCTCCATATTGTAATTCAGTTAATTCCTGACCATAGTTTATAAAGAGACTAGCCAGAACCACACTCATAATTGTGAGTAATGGCAAAACAATACCATTAATGACCTGCTGCCCTTCCAGATTTTGAAAAGGCATGACAAACATTTGCACAACAAAAGCCACTTACCCTTCATATTCCTCAATGACTTCTTCAGTGTCTGACATTTTCAGTTACCTGCCATTAAAATAAAAACAAAGTAAAGTTTCAGGAGATCTGAACATTTTGGGTGCCATCTACAGGTGCTTTTCAAATCAGAGATGTGGAGACCTTAAAGCAATTTAGAGTGAACTCGATATTTGGACAGCAAGTCATCAAATGCCTGCAATGACAAAAATGTCATTGAATTGACTGCAAAAAGCTAGGTAGATTTAACGCAGTTCCCCAGAAGCCAAAATGAAACGCAGCATAGTACCTCACTGTCAGTTAAAAATTACAGATTCTAATACACAGCAACAAGCTAGATATATATGGAGGCTAAATGTATTAATGCTGATGTCTGTCACACGAGTACTTGGATCTGAGCTAAAGTAGCCTTCATCAACCTAGTGCTCTCCAGATAAGACGCATTTCAACTCTCATAATTTCTTCCTGCTTTCTGGGAATTTTGATCGTAACACATTTGGAGAGCACAGTTTGGGAAAAGCTGAAATAGAGGATGCAGGATTTGACTGACCTGTTCTCAGATACAACATGAGTGATATAATAGTGATTGGGTGAGTCTCAACAATAGACTAACATGACTGTTTAACTCTGGCTCCAGAATAGTGAGACCGAAGTCACATATGGGCTGGCTCACTTGCTAATTGTCCATCCATGTAAATGTGTCCTGATAAATTATTGGTCCAAACTTTAGGTGTAAGCTAGCTCTCCAAAACTATGAGTTACAAGAGTTCACCATTGAGTATATGCTAGGAGTTGTTTGAAGTCCTAGTGAGGAGATGTGGCCCAGTAAGTAGATCAGAACCAATCCATAAAGGGCCTTATAGGTTTAAACCAGCACTTTAAATTGTACCCAGAAGCTCATAGAAAGTCAGCCCAGGGCCCACAGGACAGATGTAATATGTGCCCACCAATAAATACCTGTGATCATGCAACTAACTAGTTTTTGCAACAACTGAAGTTTCCAATTGATCTGTTAAGGCAGTCCTATGTAGGGTGCATTGCAGTTGTCCAATTGGGTGGTAATGAGGGTATGAGCCACTGTAATCAGATCCCCCAGTGCTAAGTAAGGCTGCGACTGGACAAAGGCCTCCTGGCCACAGCCTCCACCATGAATCCAGGAGGAACCCCAAGTTGCAGACCTACTCATCCAGAGGCAGCCCTGTTCAGAGACAAACCAATGGGAGTAGAAAAACTCTACTGTACAAACAGCAGCTCCATCTTGCTAAGGTTCAATTTAAACCTGTTCTATCCCATCCAGATCCATCAAACCTCCAGGTACCAGAACAAGACTTCAACAGCATCTCCAGCCTGGTCCAAGATCACAATATACAATTTGGTATCATCGGGGTATTGATGGTATTGGTCCCCAAAGCATTAGATGATCTCCCCAGTGGCTTCATATAGATGTTAAATAATGGGGGGGGGGGGGGGGGGGGAAAAAA